TCCCCTTTGCAAGCTCCTCAAACTCTGCTTACTGTCCACAACTTCCCTTCTATTCCTGAGTGATTCAAGTTTCCCCAGTTCCTTCTTCACTGGTGCTTCCATTATGGTCATCACAAGGTCTGTGTCACTTAATGCAAGTATCTACCCATGCTACATGTAGATCACCCTTTAGAGTTCAGGCATTTATACCCAGGGATCACCTGAAGGGACTCTGGACAGCACATTTGCCAGAGAAAGATTGAATGTTGATAGATATGATAAGTATTCTAAGAGCACTCTAAATGACACATACAAAAATAGAAGTCGGAGTGAAGACAGTTCACATTTTCAAAGTGTAAGGAGATCCACAGACTTTTCTGAAGACAGTAAAACTGTTGACAGAAAGAGGAAAGGAAAGAAACAGCAAGAGAAACGATTCCACACTGAGGAGGTCCACAAGGATAGAGGCAAGTCAGGAGACTTCCAAGTGGAGCGTGGTGTGGTATCATCCTCCTTGATTTGTTCCAGGAACACATTGGGAAGACCCTATGTTCCTCACCCCTAAGCATGGTTAGCTTCTAAACTTGCCACAGAGAAATGCCAGGTGGAAACCAGGGAAGCCCACAGACTCGGGGGTAAAGGTTGTGCATCTGGAAAATAAAAACGAAAACCCAGCGGACGTATCATACAAGACACAAATCAGAGACCGTGGCAGGAGAGCGTGCTATACGGAAAGATGTGGGTGTCCGGAAAGACTTACACCTGAAAATGGCTGCAGCATTTACCTTGTGCTTCTCGGCAGTTTTGGTAGTCCGTATTCGTGGCTGTCTTGGGAGTGACACCTGCTTCTGGATCTGCTAAAGGCCCTAGAAGGGATAGAGATTTATTGTGATTTGAATAGACTGTTTGGAGATTAAAAAATTAACCCCCCCCCATTCCTCTACTTAACTCTTTGCCCCAGTCAGAGCTCATGTCACATGCAGAGGATATCCCACATGCCTCAGGTGATCCCTGGGAAGAGCTTGAAGAACCATCCCTTATAACTTGATGAAAACTCCTAAAGGCCCTGATTCACACGTATTAATACATCACTCATCGAACAACTATGGATGGCTGAGGGCGCGACGAGATGGATAGACGGTAGGCCGTGCCTCACGCCTCACGGTGCTCAGCACGTGGACAGGGTACCGGACAGTTCTGCCGAACCCCTCTGTCTGCTTTCCTGCACACAGCCCTCTTCCTTCCCCACAAGAGACACTTATACCAACACATGACAGAGATGATATGTCGATCATGAGAAACTTGAGAAATGTGGAAAAGGCAGCAGACACGTTTCTCTTGCATAGCAATGGTCTGTGGTACCACCGCTGCACTTTGGCCAACCCAAACCCAACACCAACAAAAATAAGATAAGGTGCTAAGGTGCTCCTAGTGCTCATATCATCTCAGCAAGTGTTGCAGGTCGGGCATATAGAATGTTGGAGCCTGGAGCCTGCTCACTCTGGGCTCAGTAGGGCCTGAGAGCCTCTCCACACCTGTCACCTGGTGTGGGTCTCTTTCAGAAGCCACATTTTCCCTTGGGATTGTCTTCTCCCTTGGGTTTCTTTCCGCCAGGCAGGAAACCTGGTTGTAAGAGCCGGCCCCTGGCTTGCACGCTCTTCCGGGCTTCAGCTCCTCTCCCACGTGTCACACCGTTACTGTGTTAGGCACTTTCAATTCCTTTATTTTCTGTATACTTTTCTTGCTTGCACAGTGCTGCTTTGAGAGTCCTTTCCCGGATGGAGTAAATGATATT